TAACGTTGAAGATATATTTCCTTTAATGATGCTTGGATCGATAATATATTTTAGCATTATATTTTGTCTATCTGGATTTGCGTTGCTTGTTGTAAGTTTAAATAACATAGCTATTGAAAACGTAAAGAATATATTTAAGTTTATTAATTTTTAAAATATACAGTTTGTGTATGTGCAATATGCATTGTATGCGCTTGTATGTTATTATTATCTATTTTTTTATTTGTTTTTATTAATTAGTGAGATGTTATGCAGGTGATTACTAATGAGAAAATAAATGTCACGAATTTCGCACAGATATGCTACATGATAATAGTTATCATTATTGTTTTTATGCAAATGTTTTTCTATTGCTATGCTGGAGAGCTAATAACAGAACAAGTAAGTTACAACTTTTTATATGTATACGTAAATATGATGTACATTTGTCATTTATTATTATTATTATATCATGTGATTTAATTATTATATTATTTTTTTGTTTTCATAAGACAAAAGTTAAGTAAATGGTGTATTTATTTCCAATTTCCTTATAAAAATATAAATTGTAAATATTACTATCTTATGTATATATAATACAAGTTAAATTTTATTTAACTTTTATTAATACTTATAAAAGTGGCCGATATTGAATTAATATGTATTTTTATATATTATTATATATTTTCTTGTTAAGTGGAAAGCAGTATACCATGCTGTGTACGATCGTGAGTGGTACAAATGGGAGTCAAAACAAGCGAAAAATCTTATTCCATTAATGATGCGAGTTCAGCAACCGTGCGGTATCACTGCAGGAAAGATTATTCCATTAACGATGACTACTTTCTGCAGCGTAAGATTATTAGTATTTTTTAGTTTAACTAAAATTTTATGTGTCACTCTTTCTCTTTTCTGTATCTATATAATGAAATATAATTATTAGTTATAAATGTCATTTAAATAAAGCAACTGCAATGAAAGATATATCTTTTTATAATATTTTAATAGATATTAAAGCTCCTGGGTACTCGCTGCGGTCATATTAGAATCGTCAGAGGCGAGAATGACACGCTGAGGATTCTTGCGTGCCATTTTTAAATAAAAATATATTTTGATGAAACAACACAGATCGCTTTAGTTCACTCGTAAAATTGTCCGAAAACTATGCTTTTCCCTTGACAATTAATAAACAGCTGTAAAATGAGTGTGATATGAAACATATATGGTTTTAGCATAGCTTTCGGACAATTTTACAAATGCGATCTGTGTTGTTTCATCAAAATATATTTTTATTTAAAAATGACACGCAAGAATTCTCAGCGCGTCATTCTCGCCTTTGACGTCACGATTCCAATATGGCCGCGGCGAGTACCCTGAAGCCTTAACATAAAAAACTTTTTTTCAAAATCTATTAATATTGTAACTTCTTATTCTGTACTAAATCTGTTGGTCAAAAATGTATTATACTTATTAATAAAATAAAGATTTAAATTTAAATTATTTAATATTTAGATATTCAGAATGTGATTACAAATATAACACGAAACCATGGTCAATGTAGTTAAAAATTTTTTTTTATAGTTTCATAAAAATATCTTTAAATAAAAATGTATTTATTTTCAGCTATTAAAAACGTCAGCTGGTTATATATCATTTTTATCGGCAATGATGGATTAAAGGATTAAGCTGGTATTATATAGTAGTAACACATAATAATACATAGTAATACATTAATTTGAGAAAATGGGAATATAAGGAATGGATATATTTTTCTCCTAAAAGTTAAAATTACTAATAAAAGACAATGATTACAATCGTTATAAAGAAGCTAAAAGTTTTAACTCGAGGCATTTATCTTGATGTTTGCGTCTTTTCGTATATTATGTTATCCTTCTTTCAAGATTACGATCATCATTGGTATACAAATAATCCGATTTAAACTGTAGATTTACATATCGCATTTTCTTCGCATAGAAAAAAAATAAACTCTTAATTTCATATTTTTTCCGTCTGCTGTTGCACTTAATGTGTGTTACATCAAGAAATGTGTTCTTGCAACAAGCATGTGAAAAATATGTAAAGCTACTGTGCGACTTTCTATATTTATTTTATTATACTTGTTTCTTCTTTTTTTGCTACCATTTTTTGCCATAGAAGAAATTTTCCACTTATATTATATACATATAACATGCAATTATTTGAAATTAATGCAGATACATGAAGCGTTACAAAGTACGAAAAAAACTTTTAATACAAGTTTGACAATATATAGAGTCACAATATATTTTGCGCTTTATCAAAAAAAGGTATTCGTAATTATTATTTTTATTTTTCAAACTTGTATGTGTATGTGTGTGCGCACGCGTAAAATTATTAAATATCTTTATTTTACAGTTTGTAGCATTTATGATATTAGAACAAAACAAAATGATTCTTTCAAGTAAGTATAAATGTTCTAATTTTCTTTTATTCATATATTATATCTGTGAATCAAAAAAGTATCATTTAATTATTATAACATTTAAATGTTACAATTACGATTATAAATTTGTAAGATAAAAACATAGTCAATATATATCATATTTTACAAAATTTTATTTTGAGAATATATTTAATATATATCTATTTTCAGTTTGTAAAAATCTAGTTTGGATATATATCGCTTCTGTTGGCGCATGCTTGCAAAAATCAAACTTTCTCTAGTATCTTATCATATAATAATATTATTATAATGATTAATAATTAGAGACTGAGTAAGAAGAAGGATAAACTTATTTTCTCCTAATTAGAATAACGAATAAAAACTAATAATTGTATCCATTACGGCAGAAATAATGTTTCATATTTTACTTCAATATACTTGCTATTATTCTAAGAAATCTGTTATTATAGTAATGATACGAACCTAGGAATTTCTTTACATTACTGCAGAAAAAATTATTTTTCTAATGATAACTACTTTCTGCAGTGTAAAATTAATAAGTATCTCTAGAGAGAGCTTAACTACATTTTGCAGCATTTATTAGGGTAAGTCAAAATTTAATATTCATCGCATAAAAAAGTTTTGCCGCTACATAACATGCAAATACATAATTAACTCAATACAATACGATCATTATCTCTCGTTGCAAAATGTACGCACGTTTAGAAAAACGCTACAAAGTACAAAAAAATTTTTAAGACAAGTTTGATGATATATAGCGACACAATACACTATTAAAAACCACATGTACGTAACTATTCTTATGCCCATAAAGTTACGAAGCAGGCAAAAAATTGCCTAAGCCACTGGAAGTAGCATCTTTAATATTTAATGCATTCTTCGACGAAGCAGTCAGGTTATTGTACCCGCTGCACGAGCACGCGTGATAGTCGTCTCATTATAGTATTGGATGGAATAAACACGACGATCAACACCTCCTTAATATAATTGCGTTAGACTTTGATATGGACATATCAAAATCTTCAGGTTACAGAGGTACTGAACCAATGTTATACATTTTCCACTTATAGTCCCTATATTCAATGTCTTTAATAAAAGTTTTTAAATTAGTATTGTATCGCATTAACAAGTCACATTGCAATTTTATTAGTCTTTATCAAAATTTGACAATCTATATATGCATTTGTAATTATGATATTCAAGTTCCTTTTTTTCATAAAAAAAAATATATTTTTAGATTTTGAATGGGCGATTGAACTAAACCGTCTGACTTTAAATTGGATCGGCTTATGGCCAAAAACCAAGGAATTAACTGTGAAAAAATTCGGGCCTGACATTCGCGTGGGCTTTGCTTTCATTATGATAACATTTTTCTTTCTAATTCCTCTTCTTTATGCGCTCACGCGAGTTTGGGGCGATATGATACTTATGATAGACAATTTACGAGTTACATTACCTATGCTGTCGGTTTTATTAAAACTTGTTATCATGCGATGGAAACAATCAAGTATGTCTGGATCGATTTGATATAGAATGTGTAACTATAGATCTCATTCTTTGTCAAATTCTATTACAGTACTTAATTTATTATTACAGTGGTAACAGTAAATTAGATATAAGTTGTGTCATTTTACATTATTTTACTATTGATATCGTTTTTTTTTTTTTACATTTCCAAGTTGTCTTATCGATCATAAACATGATTAGAGAAGATTGGACGATGTTGAAGCTAGACGCAGAAAGAGATGTAATGATAAAGCGTATGAGGACCGCTCGACTGATTGTAATTTGTGCATACGTTTTGACGACATTCGCGACAATTATGATTACCATTTTACCTTATTTTGGTTTACCGTTCAGACGTCTCACAAATCTCACGGATCGAGATAAACCGTTACCATTCCAGACATATTATTTCTACGATACAGATAAGAACCCGCAGTTCGAGTTAACATATCTTACTCAAATCATAGCGATGTTTTTGGTCTTGATAATTTATACGTCAGTAGATACTTTTCTTGGATTCGTAATTCTTCATATCTGCGGTCAATTAGAAAACTTCAGACACCGATTAGTCAATTTGGTCATTGGCAAAAAGTTTAACAAAGCATTGAGAAACAACGTAGCGACTCATTTACGACTTATCAGGTGTGGGTTTCAATTATGATATGATCGAATTTCACAAGTTTAACATAACTTTTGAAGAAATTGTCTTTACCATCGTATTTAAAATTTTTTAGTTTAGACTTATTTTTTCTAATCATACAAGGTTGATCATATATGTATATCACTATATATATAGAATGAGATCTTTTTGCTTTCTCATAGAGGAAACTTTGTTTTCGCAAAAAATTTTTTTTTTGAGATTTTGATGCCAATGTGTTTAAAATGTTCTAAAACGCCGAAAAATGTTCGAAAAATCACATTTAAAAAAAATGTCCGTATGTGTGTATGTGCATCAAAAAGACGTGGTTGCTCTAACTTCCGCAAATTTTGAGATATCGGGTTAAATATTTTTACATGATTAGAGTATCATTAAAGGATGGTTGGCATTAAATTTGGTGAGGATCGGTGAAAGAGTTCATTTTTTATAAAATCTTGAATTTTTCGAGACATGTCTGTACACGCTCTAACTTTCACAAATTTTGAGATATTTTCCTCTATTAGGAAGTCAAAATTGAGAAACTCGCTTGCTTTAAAGAGCTTAAGCTTTGTGAGCAAAATAAAATGATGAGGAAGCAATGTGCAAGTTTTTAATTTGCACAATTTTCATCTTGTTTTCTATTCTTTTCTTTAATATTAAGTAGAAAAAAATGTACATGTAATTATTACATGTGTATATAATCTTAAATGTGAATTTTTGTACTGGATGTATTATATGTGTATAACTTCTCATTGGTTTTAATATAATAGCTTTTTACATGTTTTATATTTAAAGGTATGTCAATAACGCTGAAGATATATTCACTTTAATAACGCTCGGATCGATAATATATTTTAGCATTATATTTTGTCTATCTGGATTTGCGTTGCTTGTTGTAAGTTTAAATAACATAGCTATTGAAAACGTAAAGAATATATTTAAGTTTATTAATTTTTAAAATATACAGTTTGTGTATGTGCAATATGCATTGTATGCGCTTGTATGTTATTATTATCTATTTTTTTATTTATTTTTATTAATTAGTGAGATGTTATGCAGGTGATTAATAATGAGAAAATAAATGTCACGAATTTCGCACAGATATGCTACATGATAATAGTTATCATTATTGTTTTTATGCAAATGTTTTTCTATTGCTATGCTGGAGAGCTAATAACAGAACAAGTAAGTTACAACTTTTTATATGTATACGTAAATATGATGTACATTTGTCATTTATTATTATTATTATATCATGTGATTTAATTATTATATTATTTTTTTGTTTTCATAAGACAAAAGTTAAGTAAATGGTGTATTTATTTCCAATTTCCTTATAAAAATATAAATTGTAAATATTACTATCTTATGTATATATAATACAAGTTAAATTTTATTTAACTTTTATTAATACTTATAAAAGTGGCCGATATTGAATTAATATGTATTTTTATATATTATTATATATTTTCTTGTTAAGTGGAAAGCAGTATACCATGCTGTGTACGATCGTGAGTGGTACAAATGGGACTCAAAACAAGCGAAAAATCTTATTCCATTAATGATGCGAGTTCAGCAACCTTGCGGTATCACAGCAGGAAAGATTGTTCCATTAACGATGACTACTTTTTGCAGCGTAAGATTATTAGTATTTTTTAGATTAACTGAAATTTTATGTGTCACTCTTTCTCTTTCCTGTATCTATATAATGAAATATAATTATTATTTATAAGTATCATTTAAATAATGCAAGTGCAATGAAAGATATATCTTTTTATAATATTTTAATAGATATTAAGGCTCCTGGGTTCTCGCTGCGGTCATATTAGAATTGTCAGTGGCGAGAATGATACGCTGAGGATTTTTGCGTGCCATTTTTAAATAAAAAGATATTTTGATGAAACAACACAGATCGCTCTAGCACACTTGTAAAATTGTCCGAAAACTATGCTTTTCCCTTGACAGTTAATAAACAGCCGTAAAATGAGTGTGATATGAAACATATATGCTTTTAGCAGAGTTTTCGGACAATTTCACATGTGTGTGATTTGTAGTGCTGTTTCATCAAAATATCTTTTTCTTTAAGAATGATATGCAAGAATTCTCAGCGTGTCATTTTTGCCTTTGATGTCACGAGTTTAATATGGCCGCGGCGAGAATCCTGGAACCTTAACATAAAAAATTTTTTTCAAAATGTATTAACATTGTAACTTTTAATTTTATATTAAATTTGTTGGTCAAAAATGTATTATACTTAATAATAAAACTTTAAGATTTAAATCTAAATTTTTTAATATTTAGATATTAAAAATGTGATTACACAAATATAACACGAAATCGTGGTCAATTTAATTAAAAATTTTGTTTTATTGTTTTGCAAAAATACTTTTAAATATAAAGGTACATTTATTTTCAGGTATTAAAAACGTCAGCTGGTTATATATCTTTTTTATGGGCAATACTAGATTAAGCTAAAGGAATTAAGCTAGTATTACATAGTAATAATACATTAGAATACATATAGTATAACGCAGAATAATTCTGTTAAGTATAAGTGTTTTAATTTTCTTTTATTCATATATTATATCTGTGAAGCAAGAAAGTATCATTTAATTTTTATAAAATATAAATATTACAATTATGATTCTAAATTTGTAAGATGAAAATATATTCAATATATATCATATATTATAAAAGTTTCATTATGAAAACATATTTAATAAATATCTGTTTTCAGTTTGTAAAAACCTAGGTTGGACATATATCGCTTCTGTTGACGCATGCCTGAAAAAATCAAACTTTCTCTAGTATCTTATTATATAATAATATTATTATAATAATTAGTAATTAGAGACTGAGTAAGAAGAAGGATGAACTTATTTTCCCCTAATTAGAATTACGAATAAAAACTAATAATTGTATCCATTACGGCAGAAATAATGTTTCATATTTTACTTCAATATACTTGCTATTATTCTAAGAAATCTGTTATTATAGTAATGATACGAACCTAGGAATTTCTTTACATTACTGCAGAAAAAATTATTTTTCTAATAATAACTACTTTCTGCAGTGTAAAATTAATAAGTGTTTCTAGAGAGAGCTTAACTACATTTTGCAGCATTTATTAGGGTAAGTCAAAATTTAATATTCATCGCATAAAAAAGTTTTGCCGCTACATAACATGCAAATACATAATTAACTCAATACAATACGATCATTATTTCTCGTTGCAAAATGTACGCACATTTAGAAAAACGCTACAAAGTACAAAAAAACTTTTAAGACAAGTTCGATGATATATAGCGACATAATACACTTTATTAAAAAACCATATGTATGTAACTATTCTTATACCCATAAAGTTTTGTTACAAAGAAGGCAAAAAATTGCGTAAGCCACTGGAAGTAGCATCTTTAATATTTAATGCATTCTTCGACGAAGCAGTCAGGTTATTGTACTCGGCTCATGAGCATGCGTGACAGTCGTCTCATTATATTATAAGGTGGAATAAACACGACGATCAACACCTCCTCAATATATCCGAGTTAGACTTCGATATGGACATATCAGAATCTTCAGGTTATAGAGGTACTAACAATGAGCCGATGTTATATATTTTCCACTTATAGTCCCTATATTCAATGTCTTTAATAAGAGTTTCTAAATTAGTATTGTATTGCATTAACATGTCACATTGCAGTTTTATAACTCTTCATCAAAATTTTACAATCTACATATGCATTTGTAATTATGATATTCAAGTTTTCCTTTCCATGAAAAAAAAAAAAATATTTTTAGATTTTGAATGGGCGATTGAACTAAACCGTCTGACTTTAAATTGGATCGGCTTATGGCCAAAAACCAAGGAATTAACTGTGAAAAAATTCGGGCCTGACATTCGCGTGGGCTTTGCTTTCATTATGATAACATTTTTCTGTCTAATGCCTCTTGTTTGTGCGCTTATGCGAGTTTGGGGCGATATGATACTAATGATAGACAATTTACGATTTACATTACCTATGCTGGCTATTTTATTAAAACTTGTTATCATGCGATGGAAACAATCAAGTATGTTTGGATCAATTTGATATAGAATTCGTAACTATAGATCTCATTTTTCGTCAAATTCTATTACAGTACTTAATTTATTACTACAGTCGTAACAGTAAATCAGATATAAATTGTGTTATTTTACATTATTTTACTATTCATATCGCTTTTTTTACATTTTCAAGTTGTCTTATCGATCATAAGCATGATTAGAGAAGATTGGATGACATTGAAGCTACATACAGAAAGAGATGTAATGATAAAGCGTATGGGAATCGCTCGATTGATTGTAATTTGTGCATACGTTCTGATGATATTCGCGTTCATTATGATTACCATTTTGCCTTATTTTGGCGTACCGTTCAGACGTTTGACAAATCTCACGGATCGAGATAAACCATTACCGCTCCAGACATATTATTTCTACGACACAGATAAGAATGTGCAGTTCGAGTTAACATATCTTACTCAAGTTATAGCGCTGTTTCTGGCCACGATAATTTATACGTCAGTAGATACTTTTCTTGGATTTGTGATTCTTCATATCTGCAGTCAATTAGAAAACTTCAGACGGCGATTAATCAATTTAATCGTCGGCAAAGAGTTTAACAAAGCTCTGCGAAACAACGTAGTGACTCATTTACGACTTATCAGGTGTGGGTTTCGATTATGACATAATTGAATTTCACAAGTTTAATATGACTTTTGAAGAATATGTCTCTACCACTGTATTTTAATTTTTGTAGGTTTAACTTTCTTCTGGTCATACAAGGTTGATTACATATGTATATTATTATATATGTAAAATGAGATTTTTTTCTATTCTTTTCTTTAATATGAAGTAGAAAAAAATTGTATATATAATTATTACATGTGTATATAATCTTAAGCATAAATTTTCGTACGAAATGTACTAAGTGTATAATTTTCCACCGGTTTTAATATAATAGCTTTCTAAATGTGTTTTATATTTAAAGGTATGTTGATAACACTGAAGATATATTCACTTTAATAACACTCGGATCGATAATATATTTTAGCATTATATTTTGTCTATCTGGATTTGCGTTGATCGTTGTAAGTTTTAGTAATATATATTCTATTGTAAACTTAAAGAATATATTTTATGTTTATTAATTTTAATATATACAGTTTGTATATGTGCAGTATGCATTGTATGCACTCGTATGTTATTATTATTTATTTTTTTATTTGTTTTTATTAATTAGTGAGATATTATGCAGGTAATTACTAATGAGAAAATAAATGTCATGAATTTCTCACGAATATGCTACATGATAGTAGCTATCATTATTGTCTTTATGCAAATGTTTTTCTATTGCTATGCCGGAGAGCTAATAATAGAACAAGTAAGTTAGAACTTTTTACACATTTACTTTTACAACCTTTTCATACATAAATATAAAGTATATCATTTGTCATTTTATCACTTCGCTCGGTGATGCAATTATTATTATTATTATATCATGTGAATTAATCATTATATTATTTTATTTTTTTCATAAGACAAAAATTAAGTAAATGGTGTGTTTATTTTTAATTTTCTTATAAAAATATAAATTATAAATACTACTATTTATTAATGTTTGTTGAAAGTGGCCGATATTGAATTAATATGAATATTTATATATTATAATATATTTTTTTGTTAAGTGGGAAGCAGTATACCATGCTGTGTATGATCATGAGTGGTATAAATGGGAGTCAAAAGAAGCGAAAAATCTTATTTTATTAATGGTACGAGTTCAGCAACCCTGTGGTATCACAGCAGGAAAGATTGTTCCATTAACGATGACTACTTTTTGCAGCGTAAGTTTATTAGTATTCTTTAACTAAAATCTTATATGTCACTGTTCCTCTTTCATCTGTATCTATGTAATGAAATATAATTGTTAGTTATAATTATCATTCAAATTAGGTATTTAAATAAAGTAAAGTAAATATATGTATATACGTGTATATCTCAGTCACTTTTTAATAGATATTAACATAAAAAACTTTTTTTCAAAATGTGTTAACATTGTAACTTTCAATTTTATACTAAATCTGTTGGTCAAAGAAGTATTATTTTTAATAATATAATTTTAGGATTTAAATTTTAATTATTCATTATTTAGATATTGGAAATGTGATTACAAATATAACACGAAAACGTAGTCAACGCAGTTAAAAATTTTTTTTTATGGTTTCGTAAAAACATCTTTAAATAAAAATGTATTTTTTTTCAGCTATTAAAAACGTCAGCTGGTTATATATCGTTTTTATCGGCAATACTGGATTAAAGGAATTAAGCTGATATTACATAGTAATAACATATAATAATACATAGCATTACACATTAATAATACATAATAATAGATTAATTCGAGAAAATGAGAATATGAGAAATGGATATATTTTTCTCCAATTAAGAATAATAATAAAAGACAATAATTACATTCATTATAAAGAAAATAAAAGTTTGCGTTCGGGATATTTACCTCGTTGTTTGCGTCTTTTCGTAAATTACGTTATTTTTGTTTATAAATTACGATCATCATTGTTACGTGAATAGCTCGATTCAAACTGTAGATATACACATCGCGTTTTCCTCGTATAGAAAAAAAAACAAATTTTTAATTTAACATTTTGTCCGTCTATTGTTGCACTTAATGTGTGTTATATCGATAAATGTGTTCTCCTGCAACAAGCATGCGAAAAATATGTAAAGCTACTGCGCGACATTCTATATCTTTTGTAACAGTTTTTTTTTTGCTACCATTTTTTGCTGTACAGAAAATTTTTTCCATTACATAACATGCAATTATTTGTCACTATTTTCGAAGTTAACGCACGTACATGAAGCGTTAGAAAATACGAAAAAACTTTTAATACAAGTTCGACGATATATAGAGATACAATATACTTTTCGCCTTATCAAAAACAGGTGTTTCTAACTATTTTTTTGCTTCAAGTTTTTATGCGAAAAGTTTTGTTACGAAACAGGGGACTGTACATGACTGGAAATAGCATCTTTAATATTTAATGCCGCTTCGACGAAGTAGACAGGTTATAGTACTCGCCTCACGAGCATGCGTAATAAACAACTTATTATAAGATGGAAAGAATACGACAGTCAACAACTTTTCAACATATTCGCATTAGCCTTCGATATGAACATATCGGAATTTTCAGGATACAAAGGTAATAAGTGTTTGTTATTGTAATGTTATGTTTTCCACCCATAGTACCTATATTCAATGTTTCTAATAAGAGTTTTTAAATTAGTATTGTATTGCATTATTGTATTGTATCGCATTAACATGTCACATTTCGGTTTTATCACTTTTTATTAAAATTTTACAATCCGCATTTGCATTTGTAATTATTGTATTCAAGTTCTTTATTTCATAAAAATAATTTTTTCAGATCTTGAATGGGCGGTTGAATTAAATCGTCTGACATTAAATTGGATCGGCTTATGGCCTAAAACTGACGAATTCGCTCTGAAAAGATTCAGATCTGACATTCGCGTGGGATTTACTTTTTTTATGATAACATTTTTCCTTTTAATTCCTCTTGTTTGTGCGCTCACGCGAGTTTGGGGTGACATGATACTAATGATAGACAATTTACGAATTACATTACCTATGCTGTCAGTTTTATTAAAACTTGTTATTATGCGATGGAAACAATCAAGTATGTCTGAATCGATTTGATATAGAATGTGTAACTATAGATCTCAATTCTTTTGTCAAATTCTATTACAGTACTTAATTTATTATTACAGTCGTAACAGTAAATTAGATATAAGTTGTGTTATTTTACATTATTTTACTATTGCTATCGTTCTTTTTACATTAAGTTGTATTAGCATGCGTAATAAACAACTTATTATAAGATGGAAAGAATACGACAGTCAACAACTTTTCAACATATTCGCATTAGCCTTCGATATGAACATATCGGAATTTTCAGGATACAAAGGTAATAAGTGTTTGTTATTGTAATGTTATGTTTTCCACCCATAGTACCTATATTCAATGTTTCTAATAAGAGTTTTTAAATTAGTATTGTATTGCATTATTGTATTGTATCGCATTAACATGTCACATTTCGGTTTTATCACTTTTTATTAAAATTTTACAATCCGCATTTGCATTTGTAATTATTGTATTCAAGTTCTTTATTTCATAAAAATAATTTTTTCAGATCTTGAATGGGCGGTTGAATTAAATCGTCTGACATTAAATTGGATCGGCTTATGGCCTAAAACTGACGAATTCGCTCTGAAAAGATTCAGATCTGACATTCGCGTGGGATTTACTTTTTTTATGATAACATTTTTCCTTTTAATTCCTCTTGTTTGTGCGCTCACGCGAGTTTGGGGTGACATGATACTAATGATAGACAATTTACGAATTACATTACCTATGCTGTCAGTTTTATTAAAACTTGTTATTATGCGATGGAAACAATCAAGTATGTCTGAATCGATTTGATATAGAATGTGTAACTATAGATCTCAATTCTTTTGTCAAATTCTATTACAGTACTTAATTTATTATTACAGTCGTAACAGTAAATTAGATATAAGTTGTGTTATTTTACATTATTTTACTATTGATATCGTTCTTTTTACATTCCCAAGTTGTCTTATCGATCGTAAACATGATTAGAGAAGATTGGATGACGTTGAAGCTAGACGCAGAAAGAGATGTAATGATAAAGCGTATGAGGACTGCTCGACTTATTGTAATTTGTGCATACGTTCTGATAATATTCGCGTTTATTATCGTCACCATTTTTCCTTTTTTTGGTTTATCGTTCAGAAATCTAACAAATCTCACGGATCGGAACAAACCGTTACCGTTCCAGACATATTATTTCTACGACACAGATAAGAATCTGCAGTTCGAGTTAACATATCTTACTCAAGTCACAGCGCTGTTACTGGCTACGATAATTTATACGTCAGTGGATACTTTTCTTGGATTCGTGATTCTTCATATCTGCGGTCAATTAGAAAACTTCAGACGCCGGTTAATCAATTTAGTCGTCGGCAAAGAGTTTAACAAAACTCTGAGAAACAACGTAGTGACTCATTTACGACTTATCAGGTGTGGGTTTCGATTTTGACATAATTGAATTTCACAAGTTTAACATGACTTTTGAAGAAATTGTCTCTACAACCGTATTTTAAATTTTGTAGGTTTAACTTTCTTCTGATCATACAAGGTTGATCACATATGTATATCACTATATATGTAAGATGAGATTTTTTTCTATATTTTTTCTTTAATATGAAGTAGAAGAAAATTGTGCATGTAGTTATTACATGTGTATTACATGTGTAATCAGAACATGTGTATTACATATGTAATTAGTACATGTGTAATCTTAAGCGGGAATTTTCATACGAGATGTACTAAGTGTATAATTTTCCGTCGGTTTTAATATAATAGCTTTTTAAATGTGTTTTATATTTAAAGGTATGTCGATAACACTGAAGATATATTCACTTTAATAACGCTCGGTTCAATAATATATTTTAGCATTATATTTTGTCTATCTGGATTTGCGTTGCTTGTTGTAAGGATCGGCTTATGGCCTAAAACTGACGAATTCGCTCTGAAAAGATTCAGATCTGACATTCGCGTGGGATTTACTTTTTTTATGATAACATTTTTCCTTTTAATTCCTCTTGTTTGTGCGCTCACGCGAGTTTGGGGTGACATGATACTAATGATAGACAATTTACGAATTACATTACCTATGCTGTCAGTTTTATTAAAACTTGTTATTATGCGATGGAAACAATCAAGTATGTCTGAATCGATTTGATATAGAATGTGTAACTATAGATCTCAATTCTTTTGTCAAATTCTATTACAGTACTTAATTTATTATTACAGTCGTAACAGTAAATTAGATATAAGTTGTGTTATTTTACATTATTTTACTATTGATATCGTTCTTTTTACATTCCCAAGTTGTCTTATCGATCGTAAACATGATTAGAGAAGATTGGATGACGTTGAAGCTAGACGCAGAAAGAGATGTAATGATAAAGCGTATGAGGACTGCTCGACTTATTGTAATTTGTGCATACGTTCTGATAATATTCGCGTTTATTATCGTCACCATTTTTCCTTTTTTTGGTTTATCGTTCAGAAATCTAACAAATCTCACGGATCGGAACAAACCGTTACCGTTCCAGACATATTATTTCTACGACACAGATAAGAATCTGCAGTTCGAGTTAACATATCTTACTCAAGTCACAGCGCTGTTACTGGCTACGATAATTTATACGTCAGTGGATACTTTTCTTGGATTCGTGATTCTTCATATCTGCGGTCAATTAGAAAACTTCAGACGCCGGTTAATCAATTTAGTCGTCGGCAAAGAGTTTAACAAAACTCTGAGAAACAACGTAGTGACTCATTTACGACTTATCAGGTGTGGGTTTCGATTTTGACATAATTGAATTTCACAAGTTTAACATGACTTTTGAAGAAATTGTCTCTACAACCGTATTTTAAATTTTGTAGGTTTAACTTTCTTCTGATCATACAAGGTTGATCACATATGTATATCACTATATATGTAAGATGAGATTTTTTTCTATATTTTTTCTTTAATATGAAGTAGAAGAAAATTGTGCATGTAGTTATTACATGTGTATTACATGTGTAATCAGAACATGTGTATTACATATGTAATTAGTACATGTGTAATCTTAAGCGGGAATTTTCATACGAGATGTACTAAGTGTATAATTTTCCGTCGGTTTTAATATAATAGCTTTTTAAATGTGTTTTATATTTAAAGGTATGTCGATAACACTGAAGATATATTCACTTTAATAACGCTCGGTTCAATAATATATTTTAGCATTATATTTTGTCTATCTGGATTTGCGTTGCTTGTTGTAAGTTTGAATAACATAGATTCTATTGAAAACGTAAAGAATATATTTTAAGTTTATTAATTTTTAAAATATACAGTTTATGTATGTGCAATATGCATTGTATACACTCGTATGTTATTATTATCTATATTTTTATTTGTTTTTATTAATTAGTGAGATGTTATGCAGGTGACTACTAATGAGAAAATAAATGTCACGAATTTCTCACGAATATGCTACATGATAGTAGCTATCATTATTGTTTTTATGCAAATGTTCTTCTATTGCTATGCCGGAGAGCTGATAACAGAACAAGTAAGTTACAACTTTATATATGTATACGTAAATATAATGTACATTTGTTATTTTACTATCTCGCTCAGTGATGTAATTATTATTATTTTTATATCATGTGATTTAATTATTATATTATTTTATTTTTTTTCATAAGACAGAAATTAAGTATATGGTGTGTTTATTTCTAACTTTCTTATAAAAATATAAATTGTAAATACTATTATCTTATATACATATAATACAAGTTAAATTTTATTTAACTTTTATTAATAATTATAAAAGCCGATATTGAATTAATATAAATATTTATATATTATAATATATTTTCTTGTTAAGTGGGAAGCAATATACCATGCTGTGTACGATCATGAGTGGTACAAATGGGAGTCCAAACAAGCGAAAAATCTTATTCTATTAATGGTACGAGTTCAGCAACCCTGCGGTATCACAGCAGCAAAGATTGTTCCATTAACGATGACTACTTTTTGCAGCGTAAGATTATTAGTATTTCTTAGTTTAACTAAAATTTTATGTGTTACTGTTTTTCTTTCATCTGTATCTATGTAATGAAATATAATTATTAGTTATAATTATCATTTAAATAAGGTATTTAAGTAAAGTAAAGTAGATATATGTATATACGTGTATATCTCTGTAACTTTTTAATAGATATTAACATAAAAAACTTTTTTTCAAAATGTATTAACATTGTAACTTTCAATTTGATACTAAATCTGTTAGTCAAAAAAATATTATTTTTAATAATACAACTTTAGGATTTATATCTTTATTATTCAATATTTAGATATTGAAAATATGATTACAAAAATAACACGAAACTGTGGTCAATGTAGTTAAAAATTTTATATTATAGTTTCATAAAAAATCTTTATATAAAGATGTATTTATTTTCAGCTATTAAAAACGTCAGCTGGTTATATATCGTTTTTATCGGCAATACTGGATTAAAGGAATAAGCCGGTATTTCATAGTAATAACACATAATGATACATATAGTATTACACATTAATAATATATAATAATACATTAATTCAAGAAGACGAGAACATGAGAAGTGAATATATTTTTCTCCAGTTAAGATTACTAATAAAAGACAATTATTACATTCGTTATAAAGAAAATAAAAGTTTACATTCGGGATATTTACCTTGATTTTTGCGTCTTTTCATAAATGACGTTATTTTTGTTTGAAGATTATGATCATCATTGTTATACGAATAGCTTGATTCAAACTATAGATTTACATATCACGTTTTTCATGTATAGAAAAAGAACAAACTTTTAATTTAACATTTTCTACGTCTAATCACCACTTCAATTCCGTCTGTTGCACTTAATGTGTGTTACATCAATAAATGTGTTCTCTTGCAACAAGCATGCGAAAAACATGTAAAGCTACTGCGCGACATTCTATACCCTTTGTACTTGTTTCCTTTTTTGCTACCATTTTTTGCTGTACAGAAAATGTTTTCCGTTACGTAAAATGCAATTATTTGCCACTATTTTCGAAGTTAACGCACGTACATGAAGCATTACAAAGTACGAAAAAATTTTTAATACAAGTTCGACGATATATAGAGATACAATATACTTTTCGTTTTATCAAAAACAGGTGTTTCTAACTATTCTTTTGCTTCAAGTTTTTATGCGAAAAGTTTTGTTACGAAACAGGGAACTCTACGCGACTGGATGTAGCATCTTTAATATTTAATGCAGCTTCGACGAAGCAGCCAGGTTGTTATATCTGTCTTACAAGCATGCGTAATAATTATCTTATTATAGGATGGAAAGAACATGACAGTCAACAACTTTTCAACATATTCGCATTAGCCTTCGATATGGACATATCGGAATTAACAAGTTACAGAGGTAATAAGTGTTTCTTATTGCGATTATATACGTTTTCCATCTATAATACCTATATTCAATGTCTGTAATACAAGTTTTTAAATTAGTATTGTAATGCATTAACATGTCACATTTCGGTTTCATCACTTTTCATCGAAATTTTACGATTCACATATGCATTTGTAATTATCGTATTCAAGTTCCTTATACCATAAAAAAAATATTTTTAGATTTTGAACGGGCAATTAAACTAAACCGTCTGACTTTAAAGTGTATCGGCTTATGGCCTATAACCGATAAAGTCGGTATAAAAAAATTCGGATCTGACATTCGCATGGGTTTGATTTTCAATATGATAACATTTTTCTTTGTAATTCCTCTTGTTTGTGCGCTTATGCGAGTTTGGGGCGACATGGTACTAATGATAGACAATTTACGAGTTACATTACCTATATTATCGGTTTTACTAAAATTTATTATTATGCGGTGGAAGCAATCAAGTATGTCCGGATCGATTTGATATAGAATGTGTAACTATAGATCTCATTTTTTGTCAAATTCTATTAAAGTACTTAATTTATTATTACAATCTTAACAGTAAATTAAATGTAAGTTGTGTTTAATTATTTTACATTATTTTATTATTGATATTGTTTCTTTTATATTTTCAAGTTGTTTTATCGATCATAAACATGATTAGAGAAGATTGGATGACGTTGAAGCTAGACGCAGAAAGAGATGTTATGATAAAGCGTATGAGGACTGCTCGACTTATTGTAATTTGTGCATACGTTCTGGCAATATTCGCGTTTATTATGACCACCATTTTTCCTTTTTTTGGTTTACCGTTCAGATATCTAACAAATCTCACGGATCGGAACAAATCGTTACCGTTCCAGACATATTATTTCTACAACACAGACAAGAATCCGCAGTTCGAGTTAACATATCTTACTCAAGTCATAGCGCTGTTTCTGTCTATGATAATTTATACGTCAGTAGATACTTTTCTTGGATTCGTGATTCTTCATATCTGCGGTCAATTAGAAAACTTCAGACGCCGATTTGTCAATTTGGTCGTTGGCAAAAAGTTTAACAAAACATTGAGAAACAACGTAGTGACTCATTTACGACTTATCAGGTGTGGGTTTCGATTATGATATAACCGAATTTCACAAGTTTAACATAACTTTTGAAGAAATTGTTTTTATCACTGTGTTTTAAATTTTTTAGATTTGACTTATTTTTTCTAATCAGGATGATCATATATGTATATCACTATATGTATAGAATGAGATTTTTCTTCTATTCTTTTCTTTAATATTAAGTAGAAAAAAATGTACATGTAATTATTACATGTGTATATAATCTTAAATGTGATTTTTTTGTACAGGTTGTACTATATGTGTATAATTTTCCATTGGTTTTAATATAATAGCTTTTTAATTGTGTTTTATATTTAAAGGTATGTCAATAACGCTGAAGATATATTCACTTTAATGATGCTTGGCTCGATAATATATTTTAGCATAATATTTTGTCTATCTGGATTTGCGTTGCTTGTTGTAAGTCCTAGTAACATAATTCTACATAAATTCTATTGAAAATGTAAAGAATATTTTTCGAGTTTATTAATTTTTAAAATATACAGTTTGTATCTGTGCAGTATGCATTGTATGCGCTCAAATGTTATTATTATCTATTTTTTAAGTTTGTTTTTATTAATAAGTGAGATGTTATCCAGGTGATTAATAATGAGAAGATAAATGCCGCAAATTTCTCACAAATATGCTACATGATAGCAGCTATCATTATTTATTTTATGCAAATGTTTTTCTATTGCTATGCCGGAGAGCTAATAACAGAACAAGTAAGTTACAACTTTTTTCACATATACATAAATATGATGTACATCATTTGTCATTTTACCACTTTACTCGGTGATATAATCATTATTATTATAATATTATGTGATTTTTTTAACTATATGATATTATTTCATTCTTTTTTATAAGACAAAAATTGAGTAAATGGTGTGTTTAATTCTAATTTTCTTATAAAAATACAAATTGTCAATACTACTATCTTATGTACATATAATACAAGTTAAATTTTATTTAACTTTTATTAATACATATAAAAGCCGATATTGAATTAATATAAATATTTATATATTATAATATATTTTCTTGTTAAGTGGGAAGGAGTATACCATGCTGTGTACGATCATGAGTGGTACAAATGGGAATCGAAACAAGCAAAAAATCTTATTTTATTGATGGTACGAGTTCAGAAACCCTGCGGTATCACAGCAGGAAAGATTGTTCCATTAACGATGACTACTTTTTGCAGCGTAAGATTATTAGTATTTCTTAGTTTAATTAAAATCTTATGTGTTACTGTTTTTCTTTTATCTGTATCTATGTAATGAAATACACTACTCAAAAAAAAAAAATAGAGAACACTCTTATATTCTAAAAATTGGGCTTTTTTCAATCTTTTAAAACTCGACAAAAAATCATTGTAGATAAAAAATTAAAAAAGCGGTTTGAAGCTTGAAGTTTCAATTTTAACGTGTAACGACATCGGAGGACTCAACAATTTTTTTTATTTTTCTTGTTTTGTACTTTAAAATTGTTTTGTTCCTTAATATTATGTATCTTTGACACTCTGCAGATGGATAAAAAAATTTCGGTCAAAAAATTCAACTCAAGTTCCATAAACTACAACATTTTGCCTACAAAATGCTTTTTTAAAAATTTTCTTAAGATTTTTTTTGACCGAGTTACACGATTTTGAAACTAAACCTGTATTTTCTAGAAATGAAAAAAAAATTTCTGTGAAATTATTGATATCACGTTACAATTGAAACTTCAAGCTTCAGAATGCTTTTTTAATTTTTTACCTACGATGATTTCTCGTCGAGTTTCAAAGGTTTATAAATAGTCCAATTTTTAAAATATGGAAAGTGTTCCCTATTTTTTTTTAGTAGTGTATATTTATTAATTAAAATTATTATTTAGGTAAAGAAAATGTATGCAATGATATATCTTCCTGTACTTTTTAATTGATATTAACATAAAATACTTTTTTCAAAATGTATTAACATTGTAACTTTTAATATTATACTAAATCTGTTAGTCAAAAAAGTATTATATTTAATAATAAATCTTTAGGATTCAAATTTAAATTATTTAATATTTAAATATTGAAAATGTGATTACAAATATAATAAGAAATTGTGGTCAATTCAATATAGAATTTTATTTTTTAGTTTTGTAAAAATATCTTTAAATATATAAAGATGTATTTATTTCCAGCTATTAAAAACGTCAGCTGGTTATATATCGTTTTTATCGGCAATAATGGATTAAAAGAATTAAGCTGGTATTACATAATAGTGTTATGTAGTAACAACATATAATAATACATATAGTATTTCATATTAATATAAATATAATACATAATAATACATTAATTTGAGAAAATGAGAATATGAAAACTGATATTTTTCTTCAGTTAAAATTATTATTATAAAACAATTTTTAAATTCGTTATAAAGAAAATAAAAGTTTACACTCGGGTTATTTACCTCGATGTTTCTTTTCGTAAATTATGTTATAGTTGTTTGAAGATTACGATCATCTTTGTTATACGAATTGTTTGATCCAAACTATAGATTTACATATCGCATATTCCTCGTATGGAAAAAGAAAAATTTTTTAATTTGAAATTTTTTCCGTCTACTATTGCATTTAATGTGTGTTACATCAATAAATGTTTTCTTGCAATAAGCATGCGAATATGTACAACTACTGCGCGACATTCTATACCTTTTTTATTATACCTATCTCTTTCTCTTTGGCTACCATTCTTTGCTATAATATTTTTTCGCAGAAATTTTTTTTTATGACATAACATCCAATTACTTTTTGTCATTATTTCTTCAAAGTTAACGCATGTACATTAAGCGTTACAAAGTATGAAAAAACTTTTGATACAATTTTGACGATATATAGGGGGACAATATACTTATTGCCTTGTTAAAAACAGAAGTCCGTAATTATTCTTATGCCTATAAAGTTTTGTTGCGAAGGCACTACTGTAAGCCACTGCAAGTAGCATCTTTAATATTTAATGCATCCTTCGATGAAGCAGACAGGTCGTTGTACTCACGAGCATGCGTAATAATCATCTTATTATAGGATGGAACGAATACGATAGTCAACAACTTTTCAACATACTCGCATTAGCCTTCGATATGGACATATCGGAATCTTCATGTTACAGAGGTATTAAGCAGATGTTATACATCTTTCACTTATAGTACCTATATTCAGTGTCTCTAATAAGAGTTTTTATATTAGTATTGTATCGCATTAACATGTCACTTTGCAATTTTATCACATTTTATCAAAATTTTACAATTTACACATTTGTAATTATGATTTTAAAGTTTTTTATTTCATAAAAAAAAATATTTTTAGATTTCGAATGGGCGATTGAACTAAACCGTCTGACTTTAAATTGGATCGGCTTATGGCCTATCACCGATAAAGTCGGTACGAAAAAATTCGGATCTGACATTCGCATGGGTTTGATTTTCATTATGATAACATTTTTCTTTGTAATTCCTCTTGTTTGTGCACTTATGCGAGTTTGGGGCGATATGGTACTAATGATAGACAATTTACGAGTTACATTACCTATATTATCGGTTTTACTAAAATTTGTCATCATGCGATGGAAACAATCAAGTATGTCTGGATCGACTTGATATAGAATACGTAGTTATAAACCTCATTTCTTTGTCAAATTCTATTACACTTAATTTATTACTACAGTCATAACAGTAAATTAGATATAAGTTGTGTTATTTTAATTTTACATTATTTTATTATTGATATCGTTTTTTTTACATTTCCAAGTTGTTTTATCGATCATAAGCATGGTTAGAGAAGATTGGATGACATTGAAGTTAGATGCAGAAAGAGATGTAATGATAAAGCGTATGAAGACCGCTCGACTGATTGTAATTTGTGCATACGTTCTAATGGTATTTGCGTTAATTATGGTTACTATTTTTCCTTATTTTGGTCTACCGTTCAGACATCTAACAAATCTCACGGATCGAGATAAACCGTTACCGTTCCAGACATATTATTTCTACGACACAGATAAAAATCCGCAGTTCCAGTTAACATATCTTACTCAAGTCATAACGGTGTTTCTGGCCACGATAATTTATATGTCAGTAGATTCTTTTTTTGGAGTCGTGATTCTTCATATCTGCGGGCAATTAGAAAACTTCAGATGCCGGTTAGTCAATTTGGTCGTCGGCAAAGAGTTTAACAAATCTTTGAGAAACAACGTAGTGACTCATTTACGACTTATCAGGTGTGGGTTTCGATTATAACATAGCTGAATTTTACAAGTTTAACATAACTTTTCAGGAAATTGTTTCTATCAATGTATTTTAAATTTTATAAGTTTAACTTATTTTTTCTAATCATACAAGGTTGATCATATATGTATATCGCTATATATATAGGATGAGATTTTTTTCTATTCTTCTCTATAATATTAAATAGAAAAAAATGTACATGTAATTATTACATGTGTATATAATCTTAAGCGTGAATTTTTGTACAATATGTATTAAATGTATAATTTTCCATTGATTTTAATATAATGACTTTTTAAATGTGTTTTACATTTAAAGATATGTCAATAACGCTGAAGATATATTCACTTTAATGATGCTTGGATCGATAATATATTTTAGCATTATATTTTGTCTATGTGGATTTGCGTTGCTTGTTGTAAGTTTGAATAATATAGAGTTTATTGAAAATGTAAAGAATATATTATAAGTTTATTAATTTTTAAAATATACAGTTTGTGTATGTGCTATATGCATTGTATGCACTCGTATGCTATTATAATCTAATTTTTTCATTTGTTTTTATTTATTACTGAGCTGTTATCCAGGTGATTAATAATGAGAATATAAATGGCGCGAGTTTCTCACGAATATACTACATGATATCAGCTATTATTACTTATTTTATGCAAATGTTTTTCTATTGTTATGCTGGAGAGCTAATAACAGAACAAGTAAGTTAAAACTTTATACACGTATACATAAATATGATATATATTATTTGTCATTTAGCTATTTTTCTCGGTGATTTAATTATTATTATTATATCATATGATCTAATTATTATATTATTTTATTCTTTTTCATTAGACAAAAATTATGTAAATGATTGGTTTATTTCTAATTTTCTTATAAAGATAGAAATTATAAATACTATTATCTTGTATACATACATACATAAATATATATATATATAGTGGTCCATTTTAATATATATATATATATATATTATTATTATAAATTAATAGAGGAAAATAGGGTAAAACTGGATACTTTTTGGATTTGTTTTTCTACAAAAAATCAGAAGGCAAAAAAGATTCTACTAACTGTTAGTAATCTTTAGTAAACCTTGAACTATGAAAAAATGAGGCTAGTTGTTGAGAAAATTATTTAGTTACCAAGGATAACAGGACTTTTTGAAAAAGTCAAAATACCCGGTTTTGTTCCACCGATAGGATCAAATAGGGTACCTATTTGAATATATGTAAAACACCGTGAAATTACATAATTTTGATTTATTTTATTCAAAATACAAAAATGTGTTCTATAAACAAAAATCACAATCAAAAATATCCTCTTGCTCTACATTGCTGCAGGACTTTTTTATTTAATTTTTTAACTTTAGGGATCTCAAAAAATTTTTTTTTGGTGGTTTCTTTTTCTGAGTGGCAGTCTCCATTTCTAACTGCTTTTTGTATGGAGACAAAGTCAGGATGGCAGTTTTTTCTCTTTTCATTATATGAGGTAGATACCCGCTCTTGCCCCAACACGAGGAAAACAACAAATACGATGGCTGTATATTCCAGCGTACAAAATGACGATCAAAAAGTGCGATAAATTCTCTAATATGTATAGAATGCAATGCTACATTTACCGAAACAGATGTTCTGTGTAGAAAAAGTCTCGAGACGACTCGATTGTTGTCTCGATCGATCTTTTTCGGACCGAAAATTAGACTTCTCGCAAAATAAAAATATCGTGTGCACGTGGGCATGGTTCATCTCAAAATAATGATAGCGTCAATCCACAATTAATAACAAATCGGCCAAAGATAGTAGTACTTATCACGAGGAAATAAAGGTATCCAGTTTGACCCGCTTATCCGGTTTTACTCTACTTTCCCCTATATATACATATAAGTAAAATTTTATTTAACTTTTATTGATATTTATAAAAGTGGTCAATATTGAATTAATATGAATATTCATATATTATTATGTTTCCTTGTTAAGTGGGAAGCAGTATACCATGCTGTGTACGATCGTGAATGGTACAAATGGGAGTCAAAAAAAGCGAAAAATCTTATTCTATTAATGGTACGAGTTCAACAACCTTTCGGTATCACTGCAGGAAAGATTGTTCCATTAACGATGACCACTTTTTGCAGCGTAAGATTATTATTTATAATTTAACTAAAATTTTACGTTATTCTTTCTTTTTCATCTGTATCTATATAATGAAATATAATTATAAATTATAATTATTATTTAAATAAAGAAAGTGTATGCAATAAGAGAATATTGTATGCAGGGTGAGTTTTTTTAAATTGAGACATTTAAATATTTCAAAAACAACGCATTTTTGAAAAGAAAGTTTGAAACAAAAGTTATTTGGTTTTGGAAGACAAACATAACAGCATTATTTATTTTTGATTCGGTGGATCCTTTTAAGATTATTCCAAGATCAATTTTATTTTTTTAAATGAAATCCCCTATTTTTTATTGTACATTCTTATAATCTTTCTTGAGACCTTTTCAAAACATTATAATGAAGTATTTTTTCGTTAAGTATTTTTCGACTTATATCTTATTCTGACACATTTTGATATCAAAAATAAAATACCTCGTAAAATATTTAGTTTTTGATAATCTTACCGTAATACTTTTATGTACAGAATAATGAGACAAATCAATTGGTATAAAGAAAATGGTATAAAATTAATTGGTGTAAAGAATTAGTAAAAATCATTGTTTTTAAGAAAAAGTGTGTACTTATTTACAATGTATTTTTTTAAACAATTATTTCTTTTTTTACACCATATATATGTATATATATCTTCCTGTAACTTTTTAATAGATATTAACACAAAAAACTTTTATCAAAATATATTAATACATTGTAACTTTAATTTTATATTACATAAATCTGTTGGTCAACAAAATATTATTTCTAATAATAAAACTTTAGGATTTAAATTAAAATTATTTAATATGTAGATATTGAAAATATGATTACAAATATAACATGAAACTGTGAACAATTTAATTAAAAATTTTATTTTATTGTTTCGTAAACATACTTTTAAATAAAGTTGTATTTATTTTCAGCTATTAAAAACGTCAGCTGGTTATATATCGTTTTTATCGGCAATAATGGATTAAACGAATTAAGCTGGTATTACGTAGTAGTGTTATATAGTAGCAACATATAATAATACATATAGTATTTCAAATTAATATATAATACATAATAATACATTGATTCGAGAAGATGAGAATATGAGACATAAATATATTTTTCTTCAATTAAAATTATTAATAAAAGACAATAATTACATTCGTTATAAAGAAAATAAAAGTTTACACTCGGGTTATTTACCTTGATGTTTCCTTTCGTAAATTATGTTATTCTTGTTTGAAGCTTACGATCATCATTGTTATACGAATAGCTCGATTCAAACTGTAGATTTGCATATCGCTTCTTTCTCGTATAGAAAAAAAATAAACCCTTATTTTAAAATTTTCTGCGGCTACTATTGCATTTGATGTGTTACATCAATAAATGTTTTCTTGCAACAAACATGCGAAAAATATGTAAAGCTACTACGCGACATTCTATAGCTTTTTTATTGTACCTATCTTTTTTTCTTAGGCTAACATCCTTTGCTATAATATTCATCGCAGAAATTGTTTTTTACTACATATCATCCAATTACTTGCCACTATTTCTTTAGAGTTAATATATGTACGTGAAGCATGATATTACAAAGTATGAAAAAACTTTTAATACAATTTCGACGATATATAGGGGGACAATATATTTATTGTTTTGTTAAAAACAGAAGTCCGTAATTATTCTTATGCCTTTAAAGTTTTGTTATGAAGCAGGCACAACTGTAAGCCACTGTAAGTAGCATCTTTAATATTTAATGCATCCTTCGATGCAGCAGACAGGTCGTTGTACTCGCCTCACGAGCATGCATAATAATCATCTTATTATAGGATGGAACGAATACGATAGTCAACAACTTTTCAACATATTCGTATTAACCTCTGATATGGACATATCGGAATCTTCATGTTACAGAGGTACTAAACCGATGTTATACATCTTTCACTTATAGTACCTATATTTAGTGTCTGTAATAAGAGTTTTTAAATTAGTATTGTATTGCATTAACATGTCACATTGCAATTCTATTACTTTTTATCAAAATTTTACAATTTACACATTTGTAATTATGATATTGAAGTTTTTTATTTCATAAAAAAAAATATTTTTAGATTTCGAATGGGCGATTGAACTAAACCGTCTGACTTTAAATTGGATCGGCTTATGGCCTATCACCGATAAAGTCGGTACGAAAAGATTCGGATCTGACATTCGCATGGGTTTGATTTTCATAATGATAACATTTTTCTTTCTAATTCCTCTTGTTTGTGCGCTTATGCGAGTATGGGGCGATATGGTACTAATGATAGACAATTTACGAGTTACATTACCTATATTATCGGTTTTACTAAAATTTGTCATCATGCGATGGAAGCAATCAAGTATGTCTGAATCGATTTGATACAGAATACGTAGTTATAAATCTCATTTCTTTGTCAAATTTTATTACAGTACCTAATTTATTACTACAGTCATAACTGTAAATTAGATATAAGTTGTGTTATTTTAATTTTACATTATTTTACTATTAAAATCTTTTTTTTACATTTCCAAGTTGTTTTATCGATCATAAGCATGGTTAAAGAAGATTGGATGACATTGAAATTAGATGCAGAAAGAGATGTAATGATAAAGCGTATGGGAACTGCTCGACTGATTGTAATTTGTGTATATGTTCTGGCGATATTTGCGTTAATTATGGTTACCATTTTTCCTTATTTTGGTCTACCGTTCAGACGTCTAACAAATCTCACGGATCGAAATAAACCGTTACCGTTCCAGACATATTATTTCTACGACACAGATAAAAATCCGCAGTTCCATTTAACATATCTTACTCAAGTCATAACGGTGCTTCTGATCACGATAATTTATATGTCAGTAGATACTTTTTTTGGATTCGTGATTCTTCATATCTGCGGCCAATTAGAAAACTTTAGACGCCGGTTAGTCAATTTGGACAAAAAGTTTAACAAAGCTTTGAGAAACAACGTAATGACTCATTTACGACTTATCAGGTGTGGGTTTCGATGATAAGATAACTGAATTTTACAAGTTTAACATAACTTTTGAAGAAATTGTTTCTACCACTGTTTTTTGAATTTTATAGGTTTAGCTTATTTTTTCTAATCATACAAGGTTCATCATATATGTATATCACTATATATATAAGATGAAATTTTTTATATTATTTTCTTTAATATTAAGTAGAAAAAAATATACATGTAATTATGTACATGTGTATATAATCTTAAGCCTGAATTTTCAATATGTACTAAGTGTATAAATTTCCATTGATTTTAATATAATGACTTTTTAAATGTATTCTATATTTAAAGATATGTCAATAACGCTGAAGATATATTCACTTTAATGATGCTTGGATCGATAATATATTTTAGCATTATATTTTGTCTATCTGGATTTGCGTTGCTTGTTGTAAGTTATAGTAATATGTATTTTATTGAAAATGTAAAGAACATATTTTAAGTTTATTAATTTTTAAAATATATAGTTTGTGTATGTGCAGTATGCATTGCATGCGCTCGAATGTTATTATTATCTATTTTCTAAATTTGTTTTTATTAATTAGTGAGATGTTATCCAGGTGATTAATAATGAGAAGATAAATGCCGCGAATTTCTCACAAATATGCTACATGATAGCAGCTATCATTATTATTTTTATGCAAATGTTTTTCTATTGCTATGCCGGAGAGCTAATAATAGAACAAGTAAGTTAGAACTTTTTACACATTTACTTTTACAACCTTTTCATACATATATATATATATTTTATAGTGTATGTATATACATATATAAAAGTTAAATTTTATTAATGTTTATAAATGTAGCCGATATTGAATTAATATGAATATTTATACATTATTATCAATTTTCTTGTTAAGTGGGAAGCAGTATACCATGCTGTCTGCGATCGTGATTGGTATAAATGGGAGTTAAAACAAGCGAAAAATATTATTCTATTAATGGTACGAGTTCAGCAACCCTGCGGTATCACTGCAGGAAAGATTGTTCCATTAACGATGACCACATTTTGCAGCGTAAGATTATTAGTATTTTCTAGTATAACTAAAATCTTATGTTTTACTGTTTCTTTTTCATCTGTATCTATGTAATGAAATATAATTATCAGTTATATTTATTATTTAAACAAAAGGTGCACTGATATATATATATATATATATATATCATTGCACTTTCTTTATTTGTCAATAACACTGAAGATATATTCACTTTAATGATGCTCGGATCAATAATATACATTGGCATTATATTTTGTCTAACCGGATTTGCGTTGCTTGTTGTAAGTTTTATTAACATAGATTCTATTGAAGATATAAAAAGTGTACTTTAAGTTTATTAAATTTTAAAATATATTTATAAATATAGTTTGTGTATGTGCAGTATGCATTGCATGCGCTCGAATGTTATTATTATCTATTTTCTAAATTTGTTTTTATTAATTAGTGAGATGTTATCCAGGTGATTAATAATGAGAAGATAAATGCCGCGAATTTCTCACAAATATGCTACATGATAGCAGCTATCATTATTTTTTTTATGCAAATGTTTTTCTATTGCTATGCTGGAGAGCTAATAACAGAACAAGTAAGTTACAACTGTATACATGTATACAAAAAATGATGTACATTATTTTTCATTTTATCATCTCGTTTGGTGACCTAATTATTATTATTATATCATATGATTTAATGATTATATTATTTTATTCTTTTTCATAAGACAAAAATCAAGTAAGTGGTTGCAGCGTAAGATTATTAGTATTTTCTAGTATAACTAAAATCTTATGTTTTACTGTTTCTTTTTCATCTGTATCTATGTAATGAAATATAATTATCAGTTATATTTATTATTTAAACAAAAGGTGCACTGATATATATATATATATATATATCATTGCACTTTCTTTATTTAAATAATAATTATAATTGATAATTATATTTCATTACATAGATATAGATGAAAGAGAAACAATGACACATTAACTTTAAATTATTTAATATTGAGATATTAGAAATGTGATTACAAATATAACATGAAACCGTGGTTAATTTAAATAAAAATTTAACTTTATTGTTTCGTAAAAATACCTTTAAATAAAGATATATTTATTTTTAGCTATTAAAAACGTCAGTTGGTTATGTATCGTTTTTATCGGCAATGATGGATTAAAAGATTAAGCTGGTATTAAATAGTAGTAACACATAATAATACATAGTAATACATTAATTCGAAAAGATGAGAATATGAAGAATGAATATATTTTTTGCCAGTTAAAATTACTAATAAAAGACAATAATTACATTCGTTATAAAGAAAATAAAAGTTTACACTCGGGATATTTACCTCGATGTTTGCGTCTTTTTGTAAATTACGTTATTTTTGTTTGAAGATTACGATCATTATTGTTATATGAATAGTACGATCCAAACTACAGATTTACATATCGCATATTCCTCGTATGGAAAAAGAAAAAATTCTAAATTTGATATTTTTTCCGTCTACTGTTGCACTTAATGTGTGTTACATCAATAAATGTGTTCTTGCAACAAGCATGCGAAAAATATGTAAAGCTACTGCGCAGCATACTGTACTTTTTTATTGTATCTGTTTCTTTCTTTTCTGCTACCATTTTTTCCTTTAATACAAAAAATTGTTTTTATTACATAACATGCAATTATTTGTCACTATTTTTGAAGTTAACGCACGTACATGAAGCGTTACAAAGTGTGAAAAAATTTTTAATACAAGTTCGACGATATATAGAGATACAATATACTTCTCGTTTTATCAAAAACAGGTGTTTCTAACTATTCTTTTATTTCAAGTTTTTATGCGAAAAGTTTTGTTACGAAACAGGGAACTCTACGCGACTGGATGTAGCATCTTTAATATTTAATGCAGCTTTGACGATGCAGCCAGGTTGTTATACCTGCTTTACGAGTATGCGTAATAATTATCTTATTATAGGATGGAAAGAATACGACAGTCAACAACTTTTCAACATATTCGCATTATCCTTCGATATGGACATATCGGAATCTTCAGGTTACAGAGGTAAAAAGTGTTTGTTATTGCGATGTTATACGTTTTCCACCTATAGTACCTATGTTCAATGCTTCTAAAAAGAGTTTTTAAATTAGTATTATATTGCATTATTGTATTGTATTGCATTAACACGACACACTTCGGTTCTATCACTTTTCATGAAAATTTTACAATACACATATGCATTTGTAATTATTGTATTTAAGTTTCTTATTTCATAAAAAAAATCTTTTCAGATTTTGAATGGGCGATTGAACTAAACCGTCTGTCTTTAAATTGGATCGGCTTATGGCCTAAATCTGACGAATTCGCTCTGAAAAGATTCGGGCCTGACATTCGTGTGGGCTTTACTTTTATTATGATAACATTTTTCTCTCTAATTCCTCTTGTTTATGCGCTCACGCGAGTTTGGGGCGATATGATACTAATGATAGACAATTTACGAGTTACATTACCTATGCTGTCGGTTTTATTAAAACTTGTTATCATGCGATGGAAGCAATCAAGTATGTCTGGATCGATTTGATATAGAATAGCTACATATCTCATTTGTTCATCAAATTTTATTAGTACTTAATTTCTTACTACAATTGTAACAGTAAATTAGATGTAAGTTGTGTTTAATTATTTTACATTATTTTACTATTGATATTGCTTCTTTTATATTTTTAAGTTGTTTTATCGATCATTAACATGATTAGAGAAGATTGGATGATGTTAAAGTTAGACGCAGAAAGAGATGCAATGATAAAGCGTATGAGGACCGCTCGACTGATTGTAATTTGTGCATACATTTTGATGATATTTACGTTAATTGTGGTTACCATTCTTCCTTTATTTGGTTTACCGTTCAGACATCTAACAAATCTCACTGATCGGAACAAACCGTTACCGCTCCAGACATATTATTTCTATGACACAGATAAGAATCCTCAGTTCGAGTTAACATATCTTACTCAAATCGTAGGGGTGTTTCTGGCCATGATAATTTATACGTCAGTAGATACTTTTCTTGGATTCGTGATTCTTCATATCTGCGGTCAATTAGAAAACTTCAGACGCCGTTTAGTCAATTTGATCGTCGGCAAAGAGTTTAACAAAGCTTTGAGAAACAACGTAGTGACTCATTTACGACTTATCAGGTGTGGGTTTTGATTATGACATAACTAAATTTCACAAGTTTAACATAATTTTTGAGGAAATTATCTCTATCATCGTATTTTAAATTTTATAGGTTTTATTTTTTTCTGATCGTACATGGTTGATCACATATATATATATCACTATATATGCAAGATAAGATTTTTTTCTATTCTTTTCTTTAATTTTAAATAGAAAAAAGATTGTACATGTAATTATTACATGTATATATAATTTTAAGCGTGAATTTTTGTACGGGATGTATTATGTGTATAATTTTTCATTGGTTTTAATATAATAGCTATTTAAATATGCTCTATATTTAAAGGTATGTCAATAACACTGAAGATATATTCACTTTAATGATGCTCGGATCAATAATATACATTGGCATTATATTTTGTCTAACCGGATTTGCGTTGCTTGTTGTAAGTTTTATTAACATAGATTCTATTGAAGATATAAAAAGTGTACTTTAAGTTTATTAAATTTTAAAATATATTTATAAATATAGTTTGTGTATGTGCAGTATGCATTGTCTGCACTCGTATGTTATTATCATCTATTTTTCCTTAGTTTGTTTTTATTAATTAGTGAGATTTTATCCAGGTGATTAATAATGAGAAGATAAATGCCGTGAATGTCTCACAAATATGCTACATGACAGCAGCTATCATTATTTTTTTTATGCAAATGTTTTTTTATTGCTATGCTGGAGAGCTAATTACAGAGCAAGTGAGTTACAACTTTTTAGACGTATACATAAATATGATGTACATTATTTGTCATTTTACTAGCTGGTTCGATGATCTAATTATTAGTATTATATCATATAATTTAATTATTATATTATTTTATACATTTTCATAAGACAAAAATTAAGTATATTGTTTGTTTATTTTTATAATCTAATTTTTTTATAGAAATATAAATTATAAATACTATTATATACAGGGTGGTCCTCGTAACGGTCGCCACGATTTTTAAGGCACTTACAATAATCTGACATAAAAAAGTCATAAACTGAAATTTATCAGTTTCTAACCGGCAACAAATTGCAATAATAAAAATTGACCAAACATTTTTTTTCCATAAAAAAGCAAGGTCACCTTCAATTTTTTAAATTATTTTACATTATTTTACTATTGATATTGCTTCTTTTATATTTTTAAGTTGTTTTATCGATCATTAACATGATTAGAGAAGATTGGATGATGTTAAAGTTAGACGCAGAAAGAGATGCAATGATAAAGCGTATGAGGACCGCTCGACTGATTGTAATTTGTGCATACATTTTGATGATATTTACGTTAATTGTGGTTACCATTCTTCCTTTATTTGGTTTACCGTTCAGACATCTAACAAATCTCACTGATCGGAACAAACCGTTACCGCTCCAGACATATTATTTCTATGACACAGATAAGAATCCTCAGTTCGAGTTAACATATCTTACTCAAATCGTAGGGGTGTTTCTGGCCATGATAATTTATACGTCAGTAGATACTTTTCTTGGATTCGTGATTCTTCATATCTGCGGTCAATTAGAAAACTTCAGACGCCGTTTAGTCAATTTGATCGTCGGCAAAGAGTTTAACAAAGCTTTGAGAAACAACGTAGTGACTCATTTACGACTTATCAGGTGTGGGTTTTGATTATGACATAACTAAATTTCACAAGTTTAACATAATTTTTGAGGAAATTATCTCTATCATCGTATTTTAAATTTTATAGGTTTTATTTTTTTCTGATCGTACATGGTTGATCACATATATATATATCACTATATATGCAAGATAAGATTTTTTTCTATTCTTTTCTTTAATTTTAAATAGAAAAAAGATTGTACATGTAATTATTACATGTATATATAATTTTAAGCGTGAATTTTTGTACGGGATGTATTATGTGTATAATTTTTCATTGGTTTTAATATAATAGCTATTTAAATATGCTCTATATTTAAAGGTATGTCAATAACACTGAAGATATATTCACTTTAATGATGCTCGGATCAATAATATACATTGGCATTATATTTTGTCTAACCGGATTTGCGTTGCTTGTTGTAAGTTTTATTAACATAGATTCTATTGAAGATATAAAAAGTGTACTTTAAGTTTATTAAATTTTAAAATATATTTATAAATATAGTTTGTGTATGTGCAGTATGCATTGTCTGCACTCGTATGTTATTATCATCTATTTTTCCTTAGTTTGTTTTTATTAATTAGTGAGATTTTATCCAGGTGATTAATAATGAGAAGATAAATGCCGTGAATGTCTCACAAATATGCTACATGACAGCAGCTATCATTATTTTTTTTATGCAAATGTTTTTTTATTGCTATGCTGGAGAGCTAATTACAGAGCAAGTGAGTTACAACTTTTTAGACGTATACATAAATATGATGTACATTATTTGTCATTTTACTAGCTGGTTCGATGATCTAATTATTAGTATTATATCATATAATTTAATTATTATATTATTTTATACATTTTCATAAGACAAAAATTAAGTATATTGTTTGTTTATTTTTATAATCTAATTTTTTTATAGAAATATAAATTATAAATACTATATCAAAATATGTCAGAATAAAATATAAAATAACTCAAAAAGTATTTAATGAAAATATACTTTATTATAGTGTTTTGAAAAGCTCTCGAAATGGGCTACAAGAATATGCAACAAAAAGTAGGCAGTCCCATTTAAAAAATTGAAGGTGACCTTGCTTTTTTATGAAAAAAAAAATGTTTGGTCAGTTTTTATTATTGTAATTTGTTGTCGTTTAGAAACTGATAAATTTCTGTTTATGACTTTTTTATGTCAGATTATTGTAAGTGCCTTAAAAATCGTGGCGACCGTTACGAGGACCACCCTGTATATAAGTTAAATTTTATTTAACTTTCATTAATGTTTTTCAAAGTGGCCGATATTGTGAATTAATATGAATATTTATATATATATATATTATTATATGTGTTCTTGTTAAGTGGGAAGCAGTATACCATGCTGTGTACGATCATGAATGGTATAAATGGGAGTCAAAACAAGCGAAAAATTTTATTCTATTAATGGTACGAGTTCAGCAACCCTGCGGTATCACAGCAGGAAAGATTGTTCCATTAACGATGACTACTTTCTGCAGCGTAAGATTATTAGTTATTATTAGTTATTATTTTTTAATTTAACTAAAATCTTTTGTGTTACTGTTTTTTTTTCATCTGTATCTATTTAACGAAATGCACTACTCAAAAGAAAATAAAGAATACTTTTCATACCCTAAAAATTGGGCTATTTTCAAACCGCTGAAACTCGACAAAAAATCATCGTAGATAAAAAATTAAAAAAGCAGTTTGAAACCTTGAAGTTTCAACTTTAACGTCTTATCGTCATATCTTTATTTATCGTCATATCTTTATTCAAAAAAATTTTTTTATCTTTCTTGTTCTGTTCTTTAAAAAATAACCCAACAAAATAATTGTTTTGTTCCTTAATTATGTATTATTGACACTCTGTAGCTCGATAAAAATATTTCTCTCAAAAAATTCAGCTCAAGTTCCATAAACTACAACATTTCGCCTGCAAAATGCTTTTTTTTTAAATTTTCCTAAGATTTTTTTTGACCGAGTTACACGATTTTGAAGCTAAACCTGTATTTTCTAAAAATGAAAAAAAAGGTTTTTTAAAATTGTCGATATCACGTTACAATTAAAACTTCAAGCTTCAAAATGCTTTTTCAATTTTTTGTCTGCGATGATTTTTCGCCGAGTATCGACATTATTTCTGAAAATATAGATTTTGCTTCAAAATCGTGTAACACGGTCAAAAAAATCGTAGGAAAATTTTAAAAGAAGCATTTTGTAAACAAGATGTTGTAGTTTATGGAACTTGAGTTGAATTTATTGAGAGAAATTTTTTTATCGAGCTGCGGAGTATCAAAAATACATAATTTTAAGGAAAGAAACAATGGGTTCTTTTTTAAAGCACAGAACGGAAGATAAAAAGAAAGATAAAAAAATTTTCTAGAACCACCAATAGCACGTTAAAGTCGAAACTTTAGGTTTCAAAATGCTTTTTTAATTTTTTGTCTGTGATGATTTCTCGCCGAGTTTCAACGGTTTGAAAATAGCCCAATTTTTAAAGTATGAAAAGTGTTCCTTATTTTTTTTTAGTAGTGTATAATTATTAATTAAAATTATTATTTAAATAAAGAAAATGTATACAATGATATATCTTCCTGTACTTTTTAACAGATATTAATATAAAATACTTTTTTTCAAAATGTATTAACATTGTAACTTTAAATATTATACTAAATCTGTTAGTCAAAAAAGTATTATTTTTAATAATAAATCTTTAGGATTCAAATTTAAATTATTTAATATTTAAATATTGAAAATGTGATTACAAATATAATATGAAACTGTAGTTAATTTAATTA